AGTCATATTTTGAATTAAAAACTGAATTTGTATATTTTTGAATCGTGTTTTGAATTTACAAATTGGATTTGTGTATTTTTGAATATACTAATTCGATTTGTGTGTTTTTCAATCGTGTGTTGTACTTACGAGTTGAATTTGTGTTTTTTTGAATTGCGTTTTGAATTTTTGAATTTAATTTGTGTATTTTTTAAATATGTTTTGAATCTACAAATTAAGTTTTTGTATTTTTGAATTTACGAATCGTGTTTTGAATTTAAGAATTGGATTTGTGGATTTTTAAACTGTGTTTTGAACTTACGAATTGGATTTTGTAAATGTGAATTGTTTTGTGGATGTTTGAATTATATTTTGTAAATGTATTATTTCTGAGACTGATCTGGCTCCATAGTAAGGTAACTGATGTTGCGTTATACAGTACATGTGAAATGTATTTTTGAAGTCCTGAAATGGCTTTGTTGAAGTATTTTGTGCTTTGATCTAGTGTAGTATGCTGTCTATAAAGGGAACAACAAGGAAGCTCAGGGTTTATCGGTCATTGTTTCAACCCTGTTTTTTTTTTCACTAGAAAGAAATGAATGTCAAACATCAAATATTTTCCATCTGAGCCATCATCTTCCACTGGACATCTGTCTTGGAATGGATGGTGCTGCGTTGCATTGACAGTCCATGTATGTGTGATGTTAAGTCAGTGATGAATGGCTGGCCCAAATCAATGTTATTGTCTTTCAACACCTGGAACCAATCTGCGCGTCCTCTGTGGAAAAATACTAATAATTCGTAACCGATATGTTTATTGCGTGAAAGAACTGAAGCCATGAATGAAGACGTGGAAGGTGTGTGTGTGTGTGTGTGTGTGTGTGTGTGTGTTAATGACTCTCTTCCTCTCAGCTGCGCGCATTAAAAGTGTTGAGCGTTATATATGAGGCAGCGGCTCTGTCCTGAATGAGGGAGCGTGTCTGGAGGAAAGTTTATTTGGCCGTCCGCTCCTCCACTCCTCGCTCGCCCCCATGAGTGCTATTCCATGCCTCCGTCCGTCCACTCGTGGGTGGAGCCGGAACAGGAAGCAGACCTTAAAGAGCGGCTGGGAAGAGGAGTGGGTGAGGAGACACTCCTAACAAACGCCCGCCTCTGTGTCTGTGTGTGTGTCTGTGTGTGTGTGTGTGTGTGTGTGTGTGTGTGTGTTTTGAGGATTCCTGGACACTTCTTGCTCTACTTTGAGTGGTAACGGATGTGCTGATTCCTGCTCAGTTACATAAGACAACAGTATATTTGTTTTTATTACTTCACCATTCACCACACTGAGGCTTTACTCTCTGTCCTTTGTGGTGAAGCAGTACAGCTGTTACTGTGTGTGTGTGTGTGTGTGTGTGTGTGTGTGTGTGTGTGTGTGTGTGTGTGTGTGTGTGTGTGTGTGTGTGTGTGTGTGTGTGTGTGTGTGTGTGTGTGTGTGTGTGTGTGTGTGTGTGTCAGGGAAAGACCGATAGAAAGTGTGTGTTCTGGTGGGGTATATGTTGAGAAATATTCATGTGTGTGCGGGTGTGCATGTGTGTTTGTGCACGTGTGTGTGTTTGTGTGTCGGGAAGATGGTTAGAATGTGTGTTCTGATGAGGAGTGTGTTGTGAAGTATTCAGTCGTGTGTGTTTTTGTGTGTGTCAGGGGAAGATGGTTAGAATGTGCATTATCTTGGGGTGTGTGTTGTGAAGTATTTAGTTGTATGCACGTGTGTGTGTGTGTGTTTATGGAAAGACAGATAGAAATTGAGTTCTGGTAGTGGTGTGTGTGTGTGTGTGTGTGTGTGTGTGTGTGTGTGTGCGCGTGTGTGTGCGCGTGTGCGCGGCCGCATGAAAAGTGTGAAAGTGTGTTCTGACGGGGTGTGTGTTGAGAAATTTTCATGTGTGTGCGGGTGTGCATGTGTGTTTCAGTGCCTGTGCGCGTGTGTGTGTCGAGAATATGATTAGAGTGTGTGTTCTGGTGGTGTGTGTTGTGAAGTATTCAGT